AAATCCTTTTAAAGTGCTTAGTAAAAAGAAGGAGCAGAGCTTGTGAGGAGCCTGAAGGCCGCTAAATTTAGATGTGTAAATGAAACCACAGGGCTTGCTTACACTCCATAGGCAGTCTGTAGGATCTCTCTCTGTCTTCTTCCTTCTTACTCTACTCCTAATTAAAAGAGCAGTTCCATTACAGGGTCACTTTCTCCATGCTGACCTAGCTTTGCCGCTGCTTTGAGAAGGGTAGAAATCTGTACACTGCAGAGAGGTGGCAATTAGTTCCCCTGTAATTAATGAGTGAATGGTATCAGCGAATGGATATGGGCCATTGTCAGGCTGCTGAGTGGGAAAACACGGAATGGATTAAAGAGAACTTCCTAAGATAGTCGATCCTAGAAATGGGTTCACCATTTCTCGGAGAAATGGCAGACAGTCCTGGGATTCAGCCCAAACAAAATGACTGCAGTTCCGAGTCAGATTGGAAAATAGAGAAGCTCACACAAACCCACTCAAAGAGGGGCCTTTGGAAGAAAGTGGTGCCATTTATAATGAAATAAAGTCTCCCTTGGCCACCCAGAGCAGAGCTCTAACTAATGTCTTATTTTAGAATCAAAACCTGTTAGATATAGAAAGCTTGTTGGATATAAAATATAATATTTATATATATATATATTTATTTTTTACAATTTTCAGGTGATGATATAGAAAGGGATTTTTTCCCCTGAAGGCAACACTACATAATTATATTGAACAATGGAAAGTTTACTGCCAGAACAAATATCAAAAGATTCAGAAATCCAAAAATCATCAGGCTATGTAGATTTAAGTTGGCTACCAATTTAGTCTCTTGCTGAGGAACCAGGTAGCTTTATAAATTTTCTAGTAATTTCATCTCTTCTTGATTACATCTCGAATTTGTTTCTATGCCCCCATTTTTTTTCCTTCTGATCAGCTGTCTGTGCTATCACAGTATTTTTGTGCCCTCACAACTTCAGCTTTCATAGGGGTCCCAGTCTGCAGTGACTCCAACTGTAGCTCATAGTGTTGATTCAATGCTTTCCATCTCAACCGACTGGTTTCTTCACCTTTATATTCCTAACCAAAAAAAATGTGAGGACCAACTAATTTGAAGGGCAGCCCATCACAATTGTGTATAATTGTGCTGCTTCCGTCTGTTAATATCATTTAAAAATTTATTTTAGAGCACCAATCGAATCAGCTTGAGAGCCCCTAAGTTTCTCAGTTCACAAGAAAATGTGGCAAACATTATTTTTGCATTGGAAGTATCATTCTATTGAGAATTACATTTTCCTTATACCACATTAGTCTACCTTTATTGCAGGGTTATTGGTATCTGTTCTCCCTACTTCCCCACTTCTATCCCCTCTTTTACTTCACGGGTGCCTGGAGAATTTGGAGATGGCTTATGTTGATTACTTGGACACCCATACCAGGTGGCTCTACAAAAGAGCTGTATAACACTACTTGAAAGTTCAGTAGCTTATAGAGATAAGCATTTATTCATTCCCCATGTGTAAAGTATTAATTGAGGTTCATTGAAGTTAGGTGATCCTGGTTTAGCTTCAGACTATAGAGGAGCACTAAGCCCTTAAACTAGCACTAAACCCAAGGAATGTTCCATAAACTAGCACTAAAGCCAAGAAATGTTCTCTTGACAAAAACCAGCAACATAAGAAGACATGATCAATCTGGAATTACATTGTCAAGCATCTGTCCAGGTCATTGTTGCTCACCTCTCATTGGAGAAGACAAGTGTCACAGTCAAACCCAAATTCAACATATTGTAACTCCTCTGAGGTCAGTTCCAGCACATGCATATGTAAAAGTATTACATGGGAGGAAAAAAATAGGACTGATAATCTAAAATAAAAGCTCCACAGTCACACTTACTTCATTGCTCTCCTGAGTCATAATGTGTGACTCCTGAAGCTGTCAAGGTTTGCTCCTACACAGAACTACCTCAAGGAAGAGGTCACTGGTCTCTTTTCTCATGACTTTCCCACCTCTATCCCCTCTAAGACTTCCTCTAAATGTCACCTCCAGGAATTGTTGAGGCTTTAGAAAGAGACAGTTGGCCTCCTCCTCAGCCCTGTTATAATGCCGCTGCCCAGCGTACCCCTTGTCTACCGTCTACTGGACAAATGGCTAGACTGGCTTGTGTTTAGGCTTGCCTGATCAAAAGGCTGGATGGTTTCTTTTTTTATAGTTTTACTTTATAAAATTTTTCTAAAATGAACAAAAACTTGTGGTATTGTATTGAGCTCAGGGCTCTCCCATTGTGCTATATCTCTAGCCCTTTTTATTTTATTTCACTCTTTTTTTTCATTTTGAGACATAGTTTTCTAAGTTTTTAATTTGCCCAGGCTGGATTCAAACTTTTGTTGCTCCTGCCTCAGTTTCCCAGATTGCTGGAATCACTCTGTGGTCCACCCTGCCTGGCTACTATGTTAAAGAGAAGTCTCTTAGTCTATATTATAAAAGTGATTAGTATGTGACGTCTGAGTAATTATGCCCCTATCATAAACAGAAGGTAGAATGTCCAGGTATGTTTTGAATATATCCCTGAAAGTATGACCATATGCATTTTAAAAATCTTAACTATCAATCTGATATCACCTAACAGGCTAACTTTACTTATCTATTTCCTAACTGGTGAGTGGGTACATCTCATATCAAACTAAATCTTGCCCACTTCTCTGTGCTTCAGTCTAGCTTAAAGAGAATGCTTGGTCTGAGCAAATCAAACCAGACACCAATAAAGCACTTACACGGAGTTCATATATGCTCCAATGCCTTTAAATAGTCTTTCTTTAGGAAATTTTTTCAAATGTTTATGTTTCCTTGATACATATTTATTTTACTATTGCTTCTGCTTTCTCAAAACAAGACCAAAAACACTGCTGGTCTATGCCTGATGTCCCAATGAGAATGAGAGCCCTCTGTTATCCAGTTCAGAGAGAGGCTTCATTTGGAATCACTTCCAGTGTTGAAAAGATAAAATTAATTTTCTTAACAATACTTTTGGTCATCATTCATCTACCAGAGATAGTATTTTGAGAAGAGTTCAGTCATCCTACTGCTTTGGAAATTTCTCGTCAAAGAGCTTCTCACTTTTCCGACATTATCAGACTGACTTTGTTATTACAATTGGTCAAAAGAAACTGAGCTAAATGCTTTTCAACTGGGGAACTTATACAGGTATTGTAGTAGGTTTTTGGCCATCTCTGCTTCAGTGATTGAGTGTATACTCTTTGTAACTGGCAGTCATGAGTTAGCCTTATCACCTGCTCTCATTCCTGATCCTCCAAATGGATGTAACCAGATAATACACAAATAATGGTTACCAGGCAAGAAGAACAAGGAAACATCACAGATGCCAATTTTCTAGTCACAGACTTGTGACAGATGAAAAAGAATTTTCTTGTTTAGCAGCTGCATCAACCTAATGACTTTATGATAAAATAAAAGATAGGCATTAAGTTTTGCCTCCTCTAAGATCAAGTGTGTGGTGTCTTTTTCCACTCTGCTTCTCCAATTTTGTGACACAAATTTTCTAAGAATGTAATTCCATTCTAACACTATCTACCTGTAGCTAGCACCAGATTGCACACATTAAAAGGCTCAGTCTGATAAAACACCAAAATATCAGATTCCCATTGCAAATCTTCAGGTACCTGGTCTTCTTTTTTTTTTTTTTTAATACCGGGGATCAAACTCGGGTCCTTGTGCTTGCGAGTCAGGCGGCGGAACCACTGAGCTAAATCTCCAGCCCAACCTGGTCTTCTGATTGCTCTAAATCAAGAGTTTTTCTAACCTCCTCTCCACATTTGGTAATTTGATAGAACAGCTCATCAATCTGTGACAGCCACTTTCCTTAGGTGAACCAGTTTGTCACAAAGGCTAAAACTGAACACTCCATAAAGAGGCACATGAGGTGGGTCTCCAGTGCCTACTCCTCTGGAGATAGTGCGTGCCTCCCTAGAGCTGTGGGAAGGTGTTCCCCAACCTGGAAGCTCTCTGAAGTCAATAGTGTAGGAAATTCATGGAGGGTTCATTACATATTTTTGATGGATCAAATCATTTGTCATTGATGATTGAACTCAGTCTCTAATACCTCTCTCCTCTGGAGAGGTTAAAGTGCAAAGGTTCTTATCTTCTATTCATGGATTTATCTTCCTGGAGACCAATCCTCAATTTTGAAACTAGAAGTTTTTCAGTCCAAGTCATCTTGTTAGCATAACAAAGACACTCATCACTCAAATTTCAAATATTCTAGAGGCTCTATGCAAGGAATAGAAAGACTTAATTTTAATATCACAGTTGATATGTTAGCTATATAGCTGAACAAATGTATTTGAAATACGGAATGATTATGCATTGAAAACCCATCATCAGAAATAGAAATGAACACATATTAAAGCAGCAATACTAGCAACATTCACAGAGCCCTGGTCTTAAGATAACATTAACTGAGTTTGGAAGACAATTATGTAAGTTTGAGAGTTTTCTTTAAGCTTTCAGAAGTGGGTAATAAAAGGCCACGTACATAATAAGATTCAATAATAGCAAAGACACACACAAACATACACACACATTAGTGCAAGCATTTGTCCACAGGGCAAATTGTCTAATGTCTCTGGTTCTCTTCAACATCATCATTTGTCTGGAAAAAAAAAACTGAAGAAATTTTTTTCTTCTACTACCATATTAGAGATGGCAATTTTGTTCTTTTAGCTTCAAAATGGAAAACAGTATTTGATCAAAGCTATAGGAAATATCTTTCTAAATCATTATACAGTATTCTCAGAATTCTGTGGAAATTTTAAAAGATAAATATGCAAGCAAATGAACAAGCAAATGCATTAAAAAACACTTTAAAAAAAAAAAGAAAAAGCTTTCACAGCTCACAAATTTGACCAGCAAGCCAGTAAACTACATAAAACCAGAGACTCAGATACTTAGTCATGTAGTTTGCTTTATTATTGGAGCTTCAGTGTTTGATCAGTTTCTACAATATGAGTACTCAAGAAATACTTGTCAAAGGAATAAATTGCTCATGAATGATTCAATCATGCATTTTTTTCACAAAATACATGCCCAAGAAAATGCCGAGATGAGCATATTTGCACCAGTTTCCCCTGTCAGAAGTATGTATTTCTTAAACTAGGTCACAGGGAGAACTGGTGCCACTGAACCAGAACCCTGACCATCCTCTGACAGCTCAGGCAGAATGAGAGGCCAATTTGGGTCTTGATCATGAAACATGAGATTAGAAGTACATTTTCAATCAAGATGCTCCTCCTTCTTACTATGATAACGAACACTGTTCCTGTGAGAAACAAAGAGTTAGAAGGAAGCAAAAACAGGCAAAGTCACAAAGAAGATTGTTACCTAAAAAAAATTCAATAACAAATTATAGCCTCTGATTGTGGGGTAAAGAAACAACAGAAAGAAAGAAACTAAGAACATGGGTCTCAAACATGATAAAGGAAAGGAGAGTTTCAGACCACCTCCACAGGGTATCTGGAAGATGGGTTCTCAGAGAGAGTTGAAGGCCCCAAAGCACTTTGAATACGAAGTGTATTCCAGCACCTAGGACAGTACCTGGCACACAGCAAAAACTCCATGAGCAGCACGTGGACTGATGCATTTCTGTTGCATCTTCAGAGGTAAACTAGTGCCTGGTTCAAATACAATGTTGACTGAATACTTGTTTGGAGACAAAATAAGTGAGAAGAAAGATCATAACTGGAGTGGGCTCTGGGTTTACATCTCCTGAAATCAGCAATACATATGTTTATACCGGAATATCTGCTTCTGCCTGAAATTATGTCCTTCAACACTTTTCAGCTTCCAACAATATGAAAATCATTTCTTCAGTCACTGTCCTTTCTCTTTTAGTACCCTGTAGGATGAATATCCATTAAAGAAATAACGGGGTTGGTTGTTACCTCCTCAATGCAAAGCCATGCACCAGAGATTCATGCCCTCACTTAGGAGAAGGAGGCCAAGTAATGTGAATTCCTGGTGTTTCCCCTTGGATCAGCATTGGTAAATCTCGTTGTCTACCAAGAAATTGTAAGAAAGAGAATTTTCATTTTTCCATGAGTCACATTTGAAAAATGGCATTGAATGTTCCATGCTAGCAGTTGAGCCTCATTAGGTAGGACAAGGAGACAAGTGTTTCAACCAAGCTGCAGAAAGCAATTAAGTGAGAGACAGTAGGAGAAAAATTTTTTTTAATCTTTAACTTTGGAGTATACAATATTTTAATATGCTAAGTAGTCTTGTCAACTAATCAACCTTAAAGATCCCACTAGTATGGCCACTTGAAAGAGAGCTTTTCATTCAAATGTGTTCCAAGAAATTCTAGGGCCTCACATTACATCTGTCTTCTTTCTCACAGCACTTCTGTCTTATCTCTGAATCTGAGATCAGAATCATTTATTTGTGGTAATCTTCCTTCTTAAATATTGAAATTAATTAAGTAATTTAACAAATTTTTTCTTTATCAGCTGAGATGGGTGAAACCTGTTTCTGTGCTAAAAAGAGGTCCTCTATACCAGGTATTTCTCCTAGGTTCACCTCAAGTCTAGATGCTGCATGGCTTTCAAGTAGAGGGATCACCTGCCTATCTATAGCATATGGGGTAAAGTTTGCATACAGAGCAGTTCTGAAAGCACAACTAGGATAATGCACCAAAAATTTTAATTTGGCTAAGTTTATCCTTATTATTCTCATGTCCATTTAATAATAATGGCTTTCCTATTTTCTGAAGGCCTTAAACATGCACACAGATCCATGTAGGAGATTGAGCATTAGTGGTAATGTTTATTAATAACAACATTCTTTTGGTGAAATAATTTTGGCCATCATAGTCCACCTTAGCTATTGAAGTTCATTTAACCTCTAAGGAACATAACTAGGGACGCAAGGGACCCAATACATGGGACATTAATTCTAAAGGTAGAAAAAAGTCTTGGGTTAACCATGATGATTGACCACCTAAGACTCAGGGAAATCTATTTGCCTCTAATATTGTTCTGCAATATCTTATCTCCTGCCACTCTCCTTAATGCAGTCACCCATTTCACCTGATAACCATTTCTAAACTTTCAGGTCTCATTCTAGTCTTTGTTTTCTCTGGGAAGCCTTTCTGGGCATCCTGTAAACTAGATTCTCTGCTTCACCAGTCCTGGAATCACCATGTTTTGAACTTCTTCAGCAGTATTTATCACACTATCTAAATTTACTTTTCCTCTGTTTATACTCCTCAGTTATTTGTGGGCAGGAAATGCATTGTGTTTATTACATTAACCTCACACTAATCAAAAATGGTGGAAAGAACACAGTACCTAATAAATGTTAATTATACAGACAAAAATCCTTTTGAACATGATAAGCAAGAATAGGCTATTAATCACAGTAGTCCAACAGTGAAGCAGGCTCAAAGGAGAAATGGTGAACATCATATTGATGGAAATGTTCAAACACCATCAAGATATTTTGTGTACAATTCCTGATCTAGAAAAATGTTCAAGGTAATTGAACTACAAGATCCCTTTACAGTACAGTCATCTAATACTTGCACCAATGTCAATGAATGGTATCAAAAATTAATTTCAAAACTCTTATTCTATAGTATGGAGTCAAACATAAAAATGTTCATATTTTATAAGCTACCCAAGATATTCTGGTGTTCAGCTAATCTTATTAAGGTCTTATTATATTGTAATGGTTAAGTTACTTGCTATGGGGATAGTATAAACAAAAAGGTACATTGAACCCTTGATTTATGAACTCAATTCATTCTCAGGAGCTGGATGTAATTCAGGTTGGCCAATTGAAGGCTCAGGCTCCTCTAGACAGCCTTCAAAAATCTCTCACCTGTACACAGGCAGATGTCCTTAGAGAGAAGTAGGCCCAGAATTTCTCAATTAACCTCACACAGAAAAGGATGTTGTAATGTTCCTTCCAGAATTCTTTAAGGGTTAAATCTGTATTTGAGACCATCTGGAAGCACAAATGGCCAGCAATCGGGTCATAAGTTAAAACTAAAATTCTGGTCATAACCCAAGCTGTTCCTATGTCAAGCTGGTCAAAACTCAAGGATCCACTGTACCCAGTCTCCTGGAAACTTAGTCTATATAAATGAAGTGGAATATTTTTACAACGTAGTGGGTATAGAAGTTTTCTCTTCCCTGGACCTGAAAAAAACCAAATCTGATCCCATCCAAACCTTTGAATTTTGGTTTAATTCCCAGATCCATGAATCGAGAGCAGGGATTTCAATCCTGACTGTACAGTAGAATAACCTAAGGAACTTTCAAATATGTGAATGGTTGGCCTTTTCCTACAGAATCTTGATGTAATTGATCTTAAGATGATCTTTCAAATTAATTCTGAAGTCTGGGATGAAGTCTGGGATGAAGTCTGGGATGAAGACCACCTTAGAGGAAGTGGGGTCTCAGCTGTGATTTAAAATATTAGTGAGGGTTGGTTAGATGAAATGCACGGGTGCATGTATGGTAGAGTGTGAGTGTGTGTGTGTGTGTGTGTGTGCGTGCCTGTGTACACACACGTGCACGCTGGGCCAAATTTAGTTAGGTAGAATGGTAATGAAGAATAGAAATTCAAACAAATCATTCCACCTGGGGGAAGTTCTAATGAACTTTTGCAACAGGCAATGCCCATGGTTGAAGTGAGTTGTGGATGGTGTGAGTAAAGGTGCTTTGTAAAATTGAAGACGTGGTTTTAAAAAAAACCCTGTATTTAATTTATTTTAACTAAATTTTGAATCCATATGGTATCACTTTCAACTCAAAGAAATTGAAGTTATTAAAAGATTAACTTCATGTACAGGTCATCCTTTATGGTAATTTCTGGTTATTTTCTTTTATTTTCCTTCTGGGATATAGAGATCTGCAACCAGACCCTAATTACTTTAATCACATTTGGTGGAAAATTTACTTAAATATGTGGTTCCATTTCTTTCCTCATTAATTCCTATCTTGTGAATATCACTGAATCTTCCTTGAATAAATGAGTAAGTTTGTGATCCCTCTAGGACATCAATTAACAGTGTGTAGGAAATTCAATTAGTGTGTCCTGGCCCCAGGACTTACCCAGGAAGTAGCTTTTTGACAGAATTTGCTAGCATCAGCTCACTTTTACTGTAATCAGCCTCTTTCTCCCTAAAGGAGTATTTGGGGTCAGGGAGTTGAGTACTTAATTGAGTTCAGTTGTGTTCCAGTTCACTGCAGTTTCTTTGTACCTTGTAGATGAAGGTGACTTCAAATACTCTTCTCAGAGCAGCTCTTTGTATTCCATGACCTGTACCTTTGGGACAACACCATAATGATGTGCTGAAAGCTACTCTGCCATGGTCCCCTTCAACTGATTAAAACCACCAAGCCTGCAGTCACCTCAGTGAGCCTGGAAGAGGAGCTTATGGGGTCTGCCACTAGGCAAATGAATAAACTTGGAAGTTTATCTTTCCCAGGCCAGCCTTGAGATGGCCAACAGCTAGATGTCTGAAAGCCTGTGACAAACCGACTTAGTGGTCCCAGAAATTCTTTGCGTGGATTCCTCACATATGGAAAATTGTGACATAATAAATGGTTCTAAACTGTCAAACTTGAGGAAATACTATTTCTATACTCCGATAGGTAACTAAAACATGTCTCCACAACCCTACTGGGATTCCAGTTTTGGGCCTTCTTCTTACAGCACTAGAAGAGTCACCACGAATGACAACTTCAAGACCTTCTTGCTCTTCCCATGAGCTCTACCCAGTCCTTTGCTCAGTCTGTGCTTTCTTCATCCTAAGCCTGAGCCACAGTGTTCCCAGGCTCACTGAAAAGGGATGCTTAGTTATTTACGACTCATGTAAATGACCCCATTTGATTGTGTCAAGAATGTTGTAAGACGTGCATCATCATACCCATTACACACGCAGGTGTATTGTAGCCCAGAAGGGATAAGCAGTTTACTCAAGTAGGAAGTATAAGACAAACATATAGTATTTTTGACTCCACATACAATATATATTTTACTAAAGCTGCCTCTGTTGATTCCCTTAAACATTATAGGTTGAGGGCTGGGGATTTAGCTCAGTGGTTCCACCACCTGCCTCGCAAGTTCAAGGACCCGAGTTCGATCCCAGGTACCAAAAAAAAACCAACAAAAAACAAATGCATGAAAAAACCATTATAGGTTGAGAAGCTTTTTTAAGTCATGTGACAAAAAAATATATATATATCAGGGGCCGGGGATTTAGCTCAGTGGTTTTGCCTCCTGCTGCACAAGTGCAAGGACCCGAGTTCGATCCCCAGTACCAAAAAAAAAAAAATCAGACCTTCTATGTGCTAAATACCAAGTGAGTAAATGTACTTATTTTATGATAAGGAAATATTATAGCAAATATTTGTTCACTACAACAAATATTATAAGGAAATATAACAAATAAGATATTGTATTCATGTACATATGTGTGTGTGCTTAATATTTTCCTCTAAGAATTTTTTGGAAATTCATATAGTTAAGTTCCAATGAAATGTTTTATGTTATGCATACAGTTAAGTTTCAATTAAAATGGACTATTTCTTTAGACTCACACACTTCTTTTGTATAATTTGGTTAATTTAGTTTGATTTTTACTATATATAATGTAAGAAATAATGTGTTTCCCTCTCTGGCTTTTGTTGCTGAAGTTATTATTTTTTTATTTTAATTCTGTTTGGTAAAGTTTAAACAGAAAGGTAATATTAACATCACGACAGATACAATACACAACGAACTATCTCTCTACTGAATATGTTAAGGGGCAGGGGAAAGAGATTTTTTTTTTTAACACAAGCCATCCTACATCTTTAAATTTGTACGTAAAACTGGCACTAGTTCATCACTACTTTTGCTGAGAAAAAAAATCAAAGTCACCCAGGAGGGCTTTCCCCCTCTTTCTTTAATAATGGATCCTTTCAGAGACCTCCTAAGGCCACATTCCCCCTGTCATGTTTAAAGGGTTTATTGTTTCCAGAAAAGCTTTTGCTGCTCCCTCTGGAGACTGAGCTGATCCTAGGCAATATTAATTCTGTGCCTCTCTCTTGTCGGAACTCAACTTCAAATGGAGTATATAAGATGAAAGCTGAAAGAGAGGTTATGTGTGCTGTCATCTGCCATTGTGTCAGAGCCATCTACTGGGCTCAGAACAAATTAGGTGTCAGTCTGGTAAATCACAGTCAGGAAGGCAAATCAGTTTATAGAAGACTTACTTGGTCTCCTGGAAGGCTCCACCACTCAGAGAACAGTTAATCTTTCTCTTCTTTTCTTTTAGTACTTTTTTTTAAATCTGAGATTTAGCTGGTCATTTTTGCCATCTCCTCAACCCCTCCCCAACTCACTCCTTGTTTGTGTACAGAGATGAAGAGCTATTACTCTAAAAGACACTTGCATTTGAAGGACTGGTCACATGGAATATCTCATTATTTTGGTCTAATTTCATAAGTGACGAAAGGCCATGGCAAGAGAAGAGGAGGAGTAAGGGTTTGCAAGGGTGAGATGGAGAGGGAGGGAAGATGTGACTTAGCTGCCATCTTGTATGTGGAATGTTTGCAAAACCAGAAAGGACTACACAGGGAGAAACAGGCAAATCCGGTTCCTGTGAGATCTGTCCTAGTTTTTCAAATCCTTCTCAATCCCATTAGTCTTTCATGAAGAAGTTTGGTTGGCAGAAGAAAGACAATTGCTTTTCACCTTGGAATATAGATTTTAAGTCTGTCCCACCATTAGCCTGAGAAAGAAGACAAGAGTAAGTGAAGGAATATTTATTACATCAGGCTACCCAATTATTTTGCTTTAATTTGAAATAAAAATGTCATTGAACTTTACAGAGAAATATGGAACAGAAAACACTGGATTAGGACTCAGTTGACCAATGTTTCAACTGTGACAGCGACAATTTCAAGACCTTGAGAAAATTATTTAACACGCTGCTTCACCCTCTTGTCGCCTACAAATGGCAATTATTTCTTTTGATAACATAGTCACTATGTGGATCAAATTAAAATAAATACAACTAAATAAAATGTACAAATCAAGGGTGCTATTACTCCAAAGATCCTACCACTGTTCGTATCTTCATTCTTCACAAGTATAGGTGAAGAAGTGTTTGTTCTCTCAGTTCATTATTTTTATCTCCATTTTCATTTGGCCATTGTTTGTCTCCATTGCCAGCTCTCACTAACTTTGGGTGCATGTGTGTGACTTGGTGGTAAAGGTAAAGGGAGAAACTCCATGATTTCAACATTATGTGATTTATTGATATCTGTTACCATTCACAATTCTACCGAGTCAGAGTACTGAATCCTTGAATTGCTATTTTCTTCCCCATTTAGTCTAGTACTCTTGGCTGAGATTTCATATCCTTTCTTAATTACCCAGTATTTGATTCAAAATCTGTCTTTCAACTTGCTAATCCCAGTCTAGTCTCTCTCTCTCTCTTTCTCTTTTGTCAGATATCCCAATTTCTGGTCTTCTGTTAGGCTTCAAATTCTAATTCTTTCCTACCTATCTTCCCTTCCTTTACTCTTCTGGTGATCACATGGCAACTCAGATGTAACATCAAGTTAGTTTAATAGCCATGTTGCTCATTCCCATCAGCTCTGATTCTGATTTGTCTTTCAGTTTCCCTTTAGTAATTACAAGAGCAAAATAGAGACTATCACCTACTTGGCCTATGTATGTATGGTACATAGTGTGGTACACATCTGGTGCACTATGATCCCTTGAAGGCCTAGGAGACTTTTGGGCAAGGGTTGTGGGCAATTACTAAGAATTAGGACGTCCAACTTGAGAAGTGGGAATCAAGATGATATTCTAGAATACTTAAGGCACTTTCTCTCCCAAAATTTCTATGAAAAGATGGTAAGAGTGTGGATTGTAACTGACACATGACATGAATTTTTCCTTCCACTTGCAACTTTCCCTCACTTATAATCACCTTACTTTCAAGCTTCAAAGTTAACAACCTATTGCTTTCTCTTTACTTTGAAACTTGTTTTAAAGATTAGTCATAATCGAGGTGAATCTCTCATTTTTTCTTCTACTGGATTTTGCTTTTTCCTTTCTAAAGTTAATCTTTTAATTGTATTTACAACCCTCAAGTTGCTAAGCCTAACAACCCTCCTTATTTTTCATACTATAGGAGTTCTTTGTAACATTTGTAATTTGGAGTAATACTGGGTCTCAGAAAACTATTCCTCCAAAGCATAGCATTTTGGCATGCAGAGTACTTGGAGCAAAAGGAGACTGTAAGTCTTCAGAAGCTATCTCAGAAGTATGTTTTCTGTTCCTGTCCTGCTATTTTCTAGCTCTCTTTTTCCCTTGAAGTGAGTCACAGAAGCCAGAATGATTCTTCCCCAAGGTGGATCAGAAATATTAGAACCCATCTTTTCCAGAATCAGCTATACAAACTAGACAAAGTCACCTTCTGTCTTCTCCCTTGAAGATTCTCCTTCCCAGAAGGGTCCTGCCTCATATCTGGGAAGAAGCAATGCTACACAGAAAAGCCAAGAAGAATCTGATGAGAAAACCCTTGCTGGGCACCTTTCAACCTCTTACCCTAACATAATACCCTTTGTCCAGTTACGTTTCTCCATAGCTCTCCTTTCTTCATCAAACCGAAGCATTAAAAAAATAGTTTATCCTGGGTCCTTGGATTTTTACTTCCAAAGACTCTGTGTCACAGAAAATTTTGATTAAGCAAATGTCATGCTTTCTTCTTGTTCATCTGTCTTTTGTTACCAGAGTATTAGCCAAGACCCTTGTTATTGATGAGGAATGGTAGCTCATTCCTACTGCTCACTGCCTGTGAAATGCCTCTCTTATCCTAGTGTGTTATTTACATTTCTCTTGTTGCTGAGTCAAAATACCCTACACCCAAAGATAAAGGGCAGAAGGTTTATTTAGCTCACAGTTTGTGATATTTCCATCTATAATCAGCTGGCTCCAAGGCAGGGTGGCACCAGGCAAAGAATATCGCATAGGAGAAACAGTTCATGGTGCCCACATGGTAGCAAAAGCAACAAGGGACCTTAACAGTGTCTTTCTGCCTTTCATGTTATCCAGACTACCAGGATTAGGGTGAAGCCAAACCAATCAGTGGACTGGTTTAGTAATCACATGCCCTGAATCCCAGCATCACACACTCTAGATCAAGCCACCTCTGAAAAAAAGCCTTATGATCATATGAGGCTTTGGGGGGGGACATTTAGACACAAACCATAACTTCTAGTTTTTTACTTCCATACACACTTGGTTTGTCTGCCTTGTGGCTCATTCTCTGCCACACTGATCACTCTCTTCTGTCCACGCTGGAACTTTCCAGCTTCTCTCATGCTAGAGGAATATAGATTCTGGTTCCTGTACTCCTTGTCAAATTTTTAGCCCTTTTCTCTCTTCTCATAACCAGACTGATATTTCCAGTTGCTGCCGATTTTCCATATTCACATTGTGTGGGTATATTGGACACAATACCTA